GGGGAAGGGGGGGGGCAGTCGTCAACCCCGATTGCTCGCCTCTCCATTGCCAACACCGTCTCTACCTGTCTGAGGAACTCCATGGCGCATGCTCGCTTGTATTCGTCGTATTCTGCCCCTTCCCAACCACCCAACAAGAAGGAGGACCTTGCTTGCGTACCGGGAATGATGACGGGGGTGTGGCTGCAATTGGCATTCGTCGCAGAGCCGCCTTTTGCTAAATTCTAAAGCAACTGCCTTGCTGCTTGGACCTCAAGCTGCATGATGCGGACATCGCTTTTGGAGCGAACAGCCTACCAAGCTGCACTTGGACAGGGGTGGCCCAGGGGTGGCTCTTTAGCTACAGCAAGGCCTGTGCACCTGACCTGCGGTGGTCGTGTTCCGTGAAAGCCCGTCGTCGCCGAAGGCAGCACTTCCCCGCTTCTTCCAGCAGCACATGAACCAACGCAGCATCATAACACGGGTTTTTGAGGTCCATGCGATCCCCTGAACCACAAACAAGCAATAATTATGGTACAAAACCTATTGCACTGAAAGCAACTTTACTCGTAAGTCATGGGTATGTCAGACAGTGCCAGGGCCTGCAGATAGATATATGGATTTATTTATGTATTCCGAAGTTCTCTACTTATGTGTATATAGATATATATATGCACATATATCATATATATATATATATATGCATATATGTATAAACAAACCCCGTTGGAAATTATGTAGATGCAAGTGCTCGTATCTATAAGCGAGTTGAGTTTTCGACTTTAGGTTGCTACGTCAAATCCCCCCTGTGCCGCTCGGCTACCTCTGACTCAGTGACTCCCCAACACAAGCAGATGAAAAACATGCACTGGACGGTCTTTGTTCGAGCTCCGACCTTGCAAACTTCGCAGCAGCTCGCTTTAAGCCCACTGCCAAAGCCTGAAAACCCCAATTCTCGAGACTATCCTAAACCCTAAGCCCTAAACCCATTCCTGACATGATAACATTCCAGGTACGATAAACCTCAGCAGTGGTCATCGAGCCTCCGTCTCACGGGCTAAGCTCTCAATGCTACAAGCATCGCGGCGGATGTGGTAGCAGTCGCTCAGCCTTTCCGGTTGTCAGGCCACGCGCAGAAGGTTTGCAATGTTTTGGCCACTTCTTCTGTCTTTTATACGACTAAATTCGTGAGAGCTCGGTTTCATGATGGGCAGTTAACAAAGAGAGGGCGTCAGGGACGTGAGCAATGCTCTGCTTCGGGGCCATTTGAAGGAACGTCCTCTCACGCCCAGCGAGTCAGGGGTCTTGGGCAGGGGATCCACATAAGAGTTCACAGACCGTCCCGCATGCCTTAACCTGAGCCCCTGCCGAAGGCAACATGCACTATTTGGGATCAATTCGGCTCAGGGCTCCAAGTACAAACTTTTGCTACTCCTAAGGCACAAGCAAAACTGATGCGATCAGTTTCAAGCGCATGCATGCAGGTTTTGGACCCCTACCAAAGCGAAACGGCACGGATTTTCCAGGAGTGCATCTCCTTAGGCAACTCACCCAGTTTTGCCAGGTTCCTATTCCAGGCATGCGAAACATGCCGGCAAAAGTCGATGCTAGTTTCCGTGTTTTTGTTAGCCTCCGACAGCAGGGATTCAAGCCTCAGACCAGAGGTTCCCCTCCAGCTCCGCCCAAGACCCTGAACCCTAAACCCTAAACCCGAAACCCTACTGCGACTTCCGGAGCTGATGCTCCAAAAATCCCATTTGTTCAGCTTTTTACCCGGAGTGATTCAAGCAGCAGAGCTTAAGGAACTGAAACAGCCGAGGGCCGAGAAGGCAAGCAAAGAACAAAAGCCATAAAGCCGAAGGGCTTTCAAACGTTCCGAATCTTTCTTGCTCTGTTGCTTGAAGCTTCCCAGCTGCCAAAGATGCTACCATTGACCATATCTTTGAGGGAAACGCCCCACGAGCCACTCCCACTGCTTTGCTGTCTCATGAGAGTCTCATGCAGGATTCCAAGCCTGCGCATGAGCGCAACGACATGCCGGCTGTCACCCGAACATGCGCCCGGTCAAGATATGGGACAGGCGACCCTCACCGGTACCCGTTTGACATCCCCGATCGGATATCTTTCAGCTCATGGAACCAGGCTCAAGTTTAAACTGGTCAAGTTGTTCATACATTGAGTGGGTTTCTTTCCTGTGCAGAACCTGCACCAAAAAACATCAAAGGGCAGCAAAGGCCAACTTGCTCGGGGATGGCGCCTTGTGCTCAGTTGCTTCGTGTACACGAACTGCCACACTTTTATCCTGCGGAAGGCGTGGGGCAGGAAAGACATACCGTAAGCACATGCTTGTCTGAATCGCCCACTTTTCACGAGCCTGGCTGTAATAAGGCAACTTGAACTCAACAGAAGCAAGCCGAACATCCTCCTCTTCTCGAAGGCCGCGGTGCAACAGCTGAGGTAGTACTCCCACATGCGCTTGAAGCGTGTGTCGAACTCATCCATGTTCTTCCAGATCTTCAAGTTGTCCAGCCAAGTTCTCATTGTCTGCACCTGAAAAAAACTACTGATCAAGCAGGCCCGCAGAACTTGAAGTGTGAGAACCGAATCTGCGGACATTGACACTGCAACACCCCTAATTCCTACAAACTCCAAGTTCCAGGTCCCCAGACGTAGCTCTTTCCAAAGCTTTGGAAGTCCTCATGTGCAGAACAGATCTGGCTTTCCAGGGAATCGACAATCCAGACTGTGCCTCCTCACGTGTCTGGCTTTCATGTATGGGTCTTGTTCAAGTTGGTTTCCTCAAGCGCTGTGCCTTGTGGTACCTTCTTTGGTGCCTTCTGCCTCACGCAAAACATCGCAAAACCAAAAAGGCCTTACCCAGGGAGGCACGCATTGTTGCAGCATGGCCTGGCACACAACACACCTCAACCCACCGCAAATAAACGAGCATTGTACCAGCTCAACAAGGAGCCTCAAGCTTACTGAAGTTGAAATGTAAAACTTGACGTTATCCTGCAAAGCCTTCCCGCACCCCCGGCCCTCCTCCAAGTGCCACCTGTCGGAGAAGTCCTCCATCAGCAAGTAGAGCCTCGATGATAAGCTGCCAAGCCCCCGCTTAAACGACATCCGCTGCTAAGGCTGGAACATGCTTGAACGCAAGAACTGTCAAAAAAACACCCTGCTCAGACTGCCATCCTACACCTCAGTCACACAAAACAGAACTGATCCCAACCTGCCGTGAACCCACCCGCATCTGAGCGATGTGTTCAAGAGCCATGGTGCGTAGGCAGCTCCCCTCCGGGAAAAATATACTTTCCGACCTTGTGTGGATTGTACTGATTGTAATCAGGCTTCAGGCCTACGGTTGAGAAAGTAGGGCTAAGCTAAGATGATGAAGCTGGGATAAGACTTCGACAACATCTGACGGCTCACGATGCAAGGCTGCAAGGCACGAAATACAACTGGTTCTGCCGGGATGTGTGGGTTGGCCGTACCCCCATGGACTTGCTATACACGCGTCTACACCCGAGGAGCGATGGATACGAGAACATGCACGTCCAAGCGTCGAACCCATTGTGGTTCCATTCGCCACGCTTGGCCCAACCCAGGGTGTGCAGCAAGAAGATCCCATCATCAACCAGAACATCGTAAACTTTGTCGAAGTAGGTTGCGAAAGACGCCCTCCCCACGTGCTCGAACATGCCTACGGAGTAGACGCGATCAAATTTGCCCTCCACATCGCGATAGTCTGCATACATGAACTCGATGTTGGGATGGCCATAATGCGTCTTTGCCCAGTCCATTTGTGCGCGAGACAGTGTGCACGCCTTGATGCGAACATCATAGCGTGTGGCCAGGTGGTAAGCCAGGGAACCAAATCTTGGTTGCTGTTCAACGGCTTACAATTTGGGATCCTGGGTGTTGGTTGAATGGTTGGGCTTGCAACTCAGATCTTGTAAGATTCTACCACACATCTCTGCTAAACGAGGGCAGGAACCCGAAGCCAATCTCCAGAAGTTGCATTCCCGGTTTCCTGAGCCGTTCAGAAAAAAAACGCCTAAGCAGTCTACTCACAAGAGGTCAGGCTGAAAACAAAAAAAAAACACGAGCGCCCTGGACTCCTGGACCATGAACATCAGCGTGCGGAGGCAAGTGTCAGGTCCAACTTCCTTGCTATCAGCTCCATCTTCGCAAACTGCGCATCGTCCAAGGTCATGTCGGGCCTTGGCTTGAGAACATCGGGAAGCAGCTTCGAGGGCCTCACAAAGGCACAAGGAGCCTCACAAGGCTGAAGATCGCAGCTCCCCCAACCGGAATCAAAGAAACAAAGGCTCAATGGGTCGAAGCAGAGCCGCTTGTAGAAGTAGCCGCAGGAGTATTGCATGTTGCTGTCGAGCATCTCCTGCACAAGGTGGCAGCGAGAAAGGGGGAGGCGGTAGAAAAAGAGAGGCGAAGGCGGAGAGAGTGTAGTGACTGACGCCTCACCTCGTAGATCTTGATTGTCTCCTTGGCAACGAAAAGCCAGGGTCTATGAGGTTCCGTGTTTCTGAAACCGCTTGCACAGCAGCGGGAGCGGCGGCGCAGGAAGCGACAATTGCAGCGGCTATGTGCCAGCATGAGTCGGGTGAGTCGGGCAGTGATCACATGTTGTTGCTTCGGTCTTGCGAGTGCAGCCCCGAGTGCAGCCCTAGACTTGGTTTCATGTGGCAGACCGTTGCCAGCACCGCACATCATCAGTGCTGGGAGAACCATCATAGACTCTGCCAGGCAGCAACATCGTAGGTTTTGCCGATGTTTTCCTTGGCGCCCTCGACCGATTGCCCCGGCAGATCTAAGAGCTTGCCTGGCCCAGCTTCGCAAAACTCGACATTTCATGGAGGCACGGCTTTGCACTGCTGCCGAGGCTTGTGCACGACCACGCTCACACGCCGTTTCGACCCTGCAGGACTCTCTCCAACTCATATTCCTGTCATGACCATCGCACCCAAAAAAGCACGGACTTCCGGTTGGCTGCCTTTGAGTGCCCCGAGAACGATCGTCCCCAGAAGTGGCAGCTCCCGAGCTCCCAGCTCCTCGGAAGCGTCTGCTGGGGTTTTAGGGGTTTAGGGTTTAGGGTACGAGTGGGTACCTGCAGACTGGGGATGGGGGCTGGTGGTATTCTGTCTAAGGCTACGGCGCTAAGGGTTATCAAGGGCACCGGCCACAGAAAGCTCTCAAGCTACCGTGGATTTGTGGGATCCGGGGCTTCGGAGTACGGCTAAGGCTCTAGACTTGACTTATACGTTGCAATTGCGGTTTCCAGGGAGCAAGCTCATTCGTGACATTTCCTGACACCATGACAGTCCGCTGGTCCACATCTTCAAAGGTCTTCCAAATCCCAATTCCCCAGATCGGAGGATTTCGGACCATGCCGAAGCACGCCCTGCCCAAGCGCAACCCGCCAAGCCCCTCACCCTTGCTTGGTATTGGCATGTGTTACTACTCAAGGAGTCTGAGCTTCAAGTTAAGTGCAAAAACCCTAACCGCCCTAACCCCGGAAACGACAAACTGGCTCAGGGTTTAGGGTTTTTGGGGTTTAGGTTTTAGGGGGGCACCTTGGTCAAGTCTTCGATCCGCAGCAGCTCATAGACTAGGCGCTCCACATTATCCTCAGCGGGATTTGGGTCTTTGGAGGCTCGTCCAAGGTGGCTACTGCCGATGTTGCAGAGTGTTGCAGTATTTATAATATATACACGCACACACACACACACACACACACACACACACATATATATATATATATATATATATGTACGAGGGACCTCTGTGTACTATGTGAACGCTTTCTCTTTTTCAACCGTTTTAACCATTTCAGTCACTTCAACCAATTGCTTCAAATGGTTGAAACCGTTGAAACGGTTGAAATGGTTGAAAAAGAGAGGTTTTCAACCGTTTCAACCATTTCAACCATTTCAACCAATTGGTTGAAACGGTTGAAATGGTTGAAACAGAGAGGTTTTCAACCGTTTCAACCATTTCAACCAATTGGTTGAAATGGTTGAAATGGTTGAAACGGTTGAAAAAGAGAGGTTTTCAACCATTCCAACCATTTCAACCGTTTCAACCAATTGGTTGAAATGGTTGAAACGGTTGAGATGGTTGAAAAAGAGAGGTTTTCAACCATTTCAACCGTTTCAACCATTTCAAAAATGGTTGAAACGGTTGAAACGGTTGAAAAAGAGAGGCTTTCAACCTTTTCAACCGTTTCAACCATTTCAACCAATTGGTTGAAATGGTTGAAATGGTTGAAACGGTTGAAACGGTTGAAAAAGAGAGGTTTTCAACCATTTCAACCGTTTCAACCATTTCAACCAATTGGTTCAAACGGTTGAAACGGTTGAAACGGTTGAAACGGTTGAAACGGTTGAAACGGTTGAAACGGTTGAAAAAGAGAGATTTTCAACCATTTCAACCGTTTCAACCATTTCAAAAATGGTTCAACCATTTCAAAAATGGTTGAAACGGTTGAAATGGTTGAAACAGAGAGGTTTTCAACCATTTCAACCATTTCAACTGTTTCAACCGTTTCAACCGTTTCAACCCATTGGTTGAAGTGGTTGAAACGGTTGAAACGGTTGAAAAAGAGAGGGTTTCAACCATTTCAACCGTTTCAACCATTTCAAAAATGGTTGAAACGGTTGAAATGGTTGAAAAAGAGAGGTTTTCAACCATTTCAACCGTTTCAACCATTTCAACCAATTGGTTGAAATGGTTGAAATGGTTGAAATGGTTGAAACGGTTGAAACGGTTGAAAAAGAGAGGTTTTCAACCATTTCAACCGTTTCAACCGTTTCAACCAATTGGTTGAAATGGTTGAAACGGTTGAAATGGTTGAAAAAGAGAGGTTTTCAACCATTGCAACCATGTCAAAAATGGTTGAAACGGTTGAAACGGTTGAAAAAGAGAGAGTTTTTCAACCATTTCAACCATTTCAACCGTTTCAACCGTTTCAACCAATTGGTTGAAATGGTTGAAACGGTTGAAATGGTTGAAAAAGAGGGGTTTTCAACCATTTCAACCGTTTCAACCATTTCAAAAATGGTTGAAACGGTTGAAACGGTTGAAAAAGAGAGGTTTTCAACCGTTTCAACCGTTTCAACCATTTCAACCATTTCAACCAATTGGTTGAAATGGTTGAAACGGTTGAAAAAGAGAGGTTTTCAACCATTTCAACCGTTTCAAAAATGGTTGAAACGCTTGAAACGGTTGAAAAAGAGAGAGGTTTTCAACCATTCCAACCATTTCAACCATTTCAACCGTTTCAACCGTTTCAACCAATTGGTTGAAATGGTTGAAACGGTTGAAATGGTTGAAAAGAGAGGTTTTCAACCATTTCAACCGTTTCAACCGTTTCAACCGTTTCAACCAATTGGTTGAAACGGTTGAAACGGTTGAAATGGTTGAAAAAGAGAGGTTTTCAACCATTTCAACCGTTTCAACCATTTCAAAAATGGTTGAAACGGTTGAAAAGAGAGGTTTTCAACCATTTCAACCATTTCAACCAATTGGTTGAAATGGTTGAAATGGTTGAAATGGTTGAAAAAGAGAGGTTTTCAACCATTTCAACCGCTTCAACCATTTCAAAAATGGTTGAAACGGTTGAAACGGTTGAAACGGTTGAAAAAAAGGAGGTTTTCAACCATTTCAACCGTTTCAACCGTTTCAACCATTTCAACCGTTTCAACCATTTCAAAAATGGTTGAAACGGTTGAAATGGTTGAAAAAGAGAGGTTTTCAACCCTCTGGACACGCGCAAATGCTGCTATTTACAGTATTTGCAGCCTGTGGCAACGCAGAAATGCCGCTATTCACAGTATTTGCAGACTTTGGCAACGCAGAAAGGCTGTGATTGACAGTATTTCCGCCTCTGCAAACGCAGAAATTTTTCAATTTGCAGCACTCGCAGCTGAACCAAGAACCAAGGCCGAGCCACACCTTTGCAAGGGAAACATGGCCGAGCGCTTTGCAACAAAAACCTCCGAACACATTTCTCGCACGATAGGTTTTTAAAAATGTATGCGCTCCGGAACCGCCGCCTCCGGGCCGAGTGTGCTCAGAAGCCGCCAATCCCTCATGCTTCCGAAGGGGGGCTTAGGGTGGGAGTAAAGGGCTCGAATCCTTCGTGCTTCGGGGAGGGGTCCCAGGGTGGGATCCCAGGCTGGGAGTGAGGGGCTTCTAATCCTCGTGCTTCGGGGAGGGGTTGCAGGGTGGGAGTGAGGGGGGGCTAATCCTTGTGCTTCGGGGAGGGGTGCCAGGGTGGGAGTGAGGGGCCTCTAAGCCTCGTGCTTCGGGGAGGGGTCTCATAATTGAGTGAGGGGATCCTTGTGCTTCGGGCGGGGGTCCCAGGGTGGGAGTGAGGGGGCTCTAATCCTTGTGCTTCGGGCAGGGGTCCCAGGGTGGGAGTGAGGGGGCTCTAATCCTTGTGCTTCGGGGAGGGGTCCCAGGGTGGGAGTGAGGGGGCTCTAATCCTTGTCCTTCGGGGAGGGGTTCCAGGGTGGGAGTGAGGGGGCTCTAATCCTCGTGCTTCGGGGAGGGGTCCCAGGGTGGGAGTGAGGCGCCTCTAATCCTCGTGCTTCGGGGAAGGGTCCCAGGGTGGGAGTGAGGGGGCTCTAATCCTTGTGCTTCGGGGAGGGGTCCCAGGGTGGGAGTGAGGGGCCTCTAATCCCTCGTGCTTCGGGGAGTTGCAAAACTTGATTTTTGGGGCTGCGGTGGGAAGCAAAGGCCAAGAGGCCATCCTATCGCTTAGGACTTTTTGGACTGCGGTGGGAAGCAACGGCCCGGAGGCTACTAGCCGACAAAACAATCCTAAGCCACAGTAATAGCATTTTCCATCAAACTGAGTTCTTGCAATTTCGGAAAACAGCGGCGGGGAGTCGTTTTGAAGCCGGATAACCGATTTTTGGACAGGCTCGCCTCGCTGCCAGCTTTTGCGCGAGGCCGTTTCGGACCAAAAAATAGGCTTTTTCATAGATTCCCAAAAGTCTGAAATCACGCTGACTCTGTACTTTTTTCGCTTAGAATCAGCAAAAACTGAAAATTTGCTCAAAAAATCCCACCGCGGACATAGTAAAAAATCGCAGAAATTGACCAATTTTTGGGGCCCGTGTAGTATAAAATCCAATAAAAAACGGTACGTGAGCATGCCTGCAGATGCAGGAGAAAAGAATACCCAGAAACCGCGGTATCATTCCCAAAAAATGACAAAAACACACCATACTCTCCTACGTCTCAATGCCGCACCCCAATTTATTTTGTTTTAGTCTGCTTCCGCGCCGCTATAGCTGCAAAACTGCTTTTGTCCTTACTTTAGCACAAGTTTTTTTTATTAGTTTTCACTCAACAACAACAACAACAGCAGCAACAACAACAACAATAGCAGCCACAACAACAAGAGCAACAGCAACAACAACAACGACAACAACAACAACAACAACAACAACAACAACAACAGCAACAACAACAACAACAACAACAACAACAACAACAACAACAACAACCAACAACAACAACAACAACAACAACAACAACAACAACAACAACAACAACAACAACAACAACAACAACAACAACAACAACAACAACAACAACAACAACAACAACAGCAACAGCAACAGCAACAACAACAACAACAGCAGCAACAACAACAACAACCACAACAACAACCACAGCCACAACCACAGCCACAGCCACAACCACAACCACAACCACAACCACAGCCACAGCCACAGCCACAACAACAGCAGCAGCAGCAACAACAACAACAACAACAGCAACAACAACAGCAACAACAACAGCAACAACAACAACAACAACAACAACAGCAACAACAACAACAACAACAACAACAACAACAACAACAACAACAACAACAACAACAACAACCAACAACAACAACCAACAACAACAACCAACAACAACAACCAACAACAACAACCAACAACAACAACCAACAACAACAACCAACAACAACAACCAACAACAACAACAACAACAACAACAACAACAACAACAACAACAACAACAACAACCACAACAACAACCACAACCACAACCACAACCACAACCACAACCACAACCACAACAACCACAACAGCCACGACTACCACAACAACCACAGCCACAACAACAACAGCAACAACAACAACAACAACAACAACAACAACAACAACAACAACAACAACAACACCAACAGCAACAGCAACAGCAACATCATCATCAACAACAACAACAACAACAACAACAACAACAGCAACAGCAACAACAACAACAACAACAACAACAACAACAACAACAACAACAACAACAGCAACAGCAACAGCAACAGCAACAGCAGCAGCAGCAGCAACAACAACAACAACAACAACAACAACAACAACGACAACAACAGCAACAGCAACAGCAACAGCAACAGCAAAACCTTAAGGTCTAGGTTGAAGGGTTTCTAATCCTGCGAAACTTTGTCGGCTTTTGTTTTTGCCTCTCTCTCAGTTTGTTTTGTTTTTGTTTGGAAATGCCCGTGTCTCAAAACAAGGCATTGCTCATCGCGGTTTTGCGTTTTGGCTTTGTTTGCCTTTGATGTCACAAAAAAAACTCCAACCCCCGACTATAG